TACTGAAAATTCCTTGCTCAGGCAATTCATACGACTCCATTTGAGACCTAGTACATTGTACCCTTATTTTTGTAATCAGCGGAACTTTAAACAGCCAACTACTTTTCTTTTCCAATTCTACCCAGTCACTTGTGGAACCAACTATTGTTTTATATACACAATTCGAAGCTCTATTTGGCTTTAACGGTTGAACCTCACATGCGTTGTCATACGCAGAATCCCAGGGCCAACTTCCTTTGCATATCCTTATATGTACTTTGTTGCCATTTTTGACATTGATTTAAGGTTGCTTCACTCATTATATGATACGAAACGATTTCAAAGTTATAAATCAAATATTCTGAAATTATGTGTACCATTATCATTTTATCTACATTCCTAATAGGCAACGGAATTAGCTTGAACAATTTAGACGGATGCTTACTAAACAATGGCACCTTTGCACTAATGATCAATTTATTTTTAATAAATAATCCCCCCGCTGTCAATAAAGTATACACCTCCTTAAGGTCCGTATCTGACCTCTTCCCTGGAATTATTAAATTTTCCGACAGATTTTCCTGAATTTTAGCAATCTCACTTTTAAGCTGATTTGGCCTGTTTGTATGTTTGTATTCAGCCTACCGTGATAATTATCAATTAAAAGGTTTATAATTCCTGATTGCACATTTTCACCTTTTTCAATCACGGATTGAAGCTGTTTGGTTACCATAAAGAATTTTGTCGATTCTTTGTACACATAGTAATTTTCCTTAAGGACTTCTGTCATGTTTTCAATTCTTACTTGCATACTCCTAAAACTGGTGTTAACATCCTCGGTTGTTCTTTTTAATAAATTAGTAGTTGAATCAACCAATGAAGTTTGCCTTTGAACTAATTTATCTATGTTCCTCTGATTGTCTAATAAGTTCTTCATATTTTCTTCTAATTGTTCCCTGTCATCTTCATCCATTATACCAATTAAAATGTGATACAATGAACCTATAAACTCGAAAGGAGCACGCTTTGTTCTGGATCTTGGTTGCATCATGAATAATTTATTATTCTCTTCCAGTTCTAATAACTGATTTTGCATATTATTCAAAACTAGATGGCATTGATCTTCAAAGTTTGTCACAAATTTTTCCCATTTCCTTTATCAGAGCCTTTCCTTTTCTTTTGAAATCATCTTGAAATATGCATCCATGTTATTATAAATTACTAAATTCCAAGATGTACTGACAATTTCTACATCTCCTAGTGGATCTAAATATATAGCCGCAGTACTATTTATTTTTTGTACATCAAACACATTCTTTTTGAGTTTTATAGCTGACACACTGGATACCTGGCAAACCAAAGCAATCAAAGTCAATATCTCTCATTTTTTAAGGCTTACGATCGGAGTTGTGGTTGCAACCTCAGCCTGTTGTACACCAATTAAGGGACAAATCTTAGTAGTCGGCCTCGTCAATGATGCTTTTGAGATTTTCACTTTGACAACCTTAACTTTATCGTCCCTGCCTTTATGAATTTCTTCTACTTCTGCCATTGGCCATCTGGCTGGGTGACAGTTTTCATCTTTTAAAATCACTATCTGCCCTTTTTCTATATTTTGATTACCTTTTTTCCATTTATATCGTTGCTGTAATGTATATAAATAATCCTCTTTCCATTTGACCCAAAAATCTCTTTTCATTTTTCGAATTAACCTCCACCTATCTAAGCTCGCAATTTTTAATTTTCTACAACTGTCTCAACTATATCCAACGTAGGTCGGCCTATTAAGAAATGCCCGGGGGTTAGAATCCATGTCTTCTCCTGTTATATATAGCGGTCTAGAATTAAGTACTGCTTCGATTTGGCATAAAAGGGTTGACATCTCTTCGTATGTCAATATACTATCTCCAATTACCCTTTTTAAATGATATTTAACGGATTAAACACCTGCTTCCCATATACCTCCAAAATGAGGTAATACCGGCGGAATAAAATGCCACTGAATTTTTTCGGTTTCCTTTTCTGCAGCTATTCTGGAGTTATGTTTTATGGCTTTTATTAATTCGTCGTCTAACTTCCGTGCAGCTCCTACAAAATTAGTACCATTATCCGAATATATATTGGAACATTTCCCTCTTCTCGCTATAAATCTTTGTAATGCTGCTAGGAATGCATCACTTACAACTTCTAAATGAATCGCTTTCGTAGCCGAAACTGAAATATAGCCTTTAAAAGTTTTTTGACCCCGATTTTTTGAGCATTTTAGGTGATATGGCCCTGCATAATCTATACCTGTATTTAGAAAAGGGTATGCCACATTTACCTTGCACTTGGGCAGATTACCCATTATTTGTTTACCTGTACATTGCACATTGCGCACAGGTGACACATTCTCTCAATACTTTCTTTAGAGAATCCCTTAATCTAAATATCCAATACTTCCTTTGGACTTGGTTTCTCATTAAATTAATTCCACCATGCAAAGTTTCGTTATGTGCTTTTTCAATTATTAATCTTGTCATGTGGCATTTATCTAATATGATCGGGTGCTTGACATCAAATCGCAATTTGCTATTTTGTAGCCTACCACCCTAATGATACCATCTTCGTCTAAAAATGGATTCAGCCCTAGAATCTTACTTTTCTGCTCTATTTCCTTGTCAGCTCTCAAACATTATATTTCGGTCATAAACTGTCGTTCCTGCTGTTTTTTAATAATTACTAATCGGTAATTCTTTTGCTGTCAGCAAATGTGGGTATGAAGCCTTCTTGACTTTCATAGCGATAAATCGCAATACCCAAGCTACGACCAAGCAATACCAAGCAACTTCGAAATGGTGTCTTCGGATTTTACTATTACAGTATTTACTCGTACTTCTTTATCTATTTGTAACTTGGGCCAGTTGTCCTCTGGTGTTGAGAGCCATTTGGGCCCATTCCACCACAGCGAACAATCTTTTAATTTTGTAGCACAGATGCCTCTGGAGGCAATGTCTGCTGGGTTATCCTCAGATCTTACATGATTCCATACTGTATCCTTTAATTTTAAAATTTCGTCAGTTCTACGTCTAATAAATTTATCTTTGCACTCAATCATGGTTGCAACTATTGTGTTATCGCCTTTCGATTTTGTGCAGCCCGACACTATCCATCCAAATTCAGTATTTTGACCTAGGAGTCCATCAATTTTTTTATTCCATTTTTTAAGATGTGTGCATATAGATCTGCTCCTATTATTAGGTCCACCCTACCTGGCTTGTTGAATTCGGGATCAGCAAGCCGGTATTTATCCCACTTTGCCGTGTCAATGTTAATCATTTGACTTGATAGTGCCTACATTAATTTTGGTAGGACTATCGAATCTACCTTCAAATTATGTTTATCCTTTTTTTGTGTTTTGATTTGTAAATTTAATGTATACCTTGAAATGCATGTTGTACTTGTAGAAACCCCACTAATTTCTGTGTATTTAATTTTCGGTAATTGGAGAATTTGTGAAGCTTCCTCTGAAATTATAGTACTTTGAGACCCACTGTTTATAAAAGCTCTTAATTTTTCGAAGCCACCATTGCCTGATTTTGCTTCAATCAGGGCTGTAGCTAACAACGCTTGCTCCGTTGTTCTACACGTCGTCACTTTCTCTTGGATCCTAGTAACTAACGTATGGTGAGGTTTGTTACAAGTCACACATAGCTGCTCACTTGTACATCTTTTAAAATTTTGATGCCTTAGACATCTTGTACAAATATGATTCTTTTGTGCCCAGTCAGTTCTTTCTGCTGGGTTCATTTTTTTAAATTTATAGCATTGAACTAAATAATGCCCTGGTAATTTACAACATGCACAATTTTCGCTATTATTATTGGCCATTGTACTAATAACTTTCTTCACAAGCTTATCTCCCTGTGAAAATGATGATATAGAATTAAGTCTTTGTTCTGAAAATTCCATAACATAAGAAAATGCCTGAATGTCTTTTGTCTTTTGACATGACTTTCATATAAATTTAAATAGTCTTTATTAAATTTTCGCACAATAATGTGCGCAACAACGGCATCAACTTCTTCGGATAAGTGTGCCTTTAACTTTATAATGTATATAGATTCATTAATCAATGTCAATGAATCTTTTAATTTGCTTATCCGATTCCAATATTTTTTTCCGTGTTGGAGATTTTTGCAGTGGGCACAAACTGTACCGCTGGCTTATTGTTTAAAGACTCTTTTTCAAATCTTAATTTGATTTGAGCCAACACCATCATTATCAAATCATATTGCTTGGAATTGAAATAATCATGATCGACAACGCCGATTTTCAAAAGGACAAACTCTTCTGAAACTCTTCTGATCTTATTATGTATTGTTCTGTTAATCCAACTTTTACTTCTAACTGCCTTATTTCCATAATAATTCCGGACTGACCCTTTAACAATTCTAATGTTTTTTCTGACATCATTTTGAAATTGTATGTATATATATATTTTTAAACTTAGGTATCTGTGTATCTGTATGTTTCAATATGTTTATATCTGTCGGCGAATGGATATACCATTCGTATACCAGCGTATGCAGAATGCTAGTTCCTGGAAAGTTTGTCTTACGCGGAACTTTGGCATTCTTGGTTCTATTCTATGATTGGTCCTCTTAGTTCGTTGTGGCGCGACACAGCTGCGCTGTTAGTTCCCTTTTTCACAGGAATCGTTATAGCGAGGCGGCATGAATCGACATCAGAAGTGGGATCGGGTCCTCAACCTAATACATTAGTTGGACCATGGCGTGTCATCATCGAACTACCAAATCAAAATTTAATCGAACTTTCGCGAGAAAATAAAACAACAGATCCTGATGCAGAACGAAGAAAAGCTAAGTACAAAGTTTTCTGGTAAAAGATTGAATAATATTGTTATGTTAAGAGGCATTGGGAGTAATGGAATATGTAGTACTGTACAAGTTCTAAGTAACGTACAAATTGATAATAATTATATTGAAATTTTGTTTTATGTAATAGGCGATGATCACATGCAAAACGATATCGTTATTGGACGTGAAATACTAAAACAGGGTTTTGATATTGTCATTTCATTAGACAAATTTACGATTTCAAGAGCCAAAATAATTAATTTGTGAGCCAGCTTATATTGATACAGAACTTGACAGAGAAAATAAAATAAAACTAAATTCATTGTTGGCAAAGTACTCAAATTGTTTTCTCAAAGGAATACCATGCACTAAAGTTAAAGTAGGTGAAATGAAAATTAGATTGATCGATCCTAGTAAAACTGTTCAGAGAAGGCCATACCGATTAAGTCCATGCGAGCGATTTAGTTCGAGGGAAAATTGTTATGTTAAATTGTTAAATTGTTCTTATGTTATCGTGTATATGGATGATATTATGATAACTACCACAACATTAGAGGAAGCTTTTGAAAGATTGGAGATTGTTTTAAATGTTCTGACAGAGGCTGGATTTTCGTTTAATATTACAAAGTGTTCCTTCCTGAAAACATCGGTGCAATATTTAGGCTTAAGTGTCAGTGCTGGTCCAGTGCAGTCCAAACCCTCAGAAAATTGTAGCGTTAACAGCCCTTGTTCCTCCACAATCTGTAACATCACTTAGACGATTTATTGAATTAGCATCGTATTTCCGGCAGTTTATTAGGGGTTTTCGCAGTTAATGAAACCGTTATATTTCTTAACTTCTGAGAAAAATAAATTTAATTGGAAAGCAGAACATGAGCAGATACGGAAGAAGGTTATTTCTATACTTACTGATGAGCCAGCTCTTGTTATTTTTGACCCAAATTATCCAATTGAACTGCATACAGATGCAAATTGCAGTGGCTACGATGCATTTTTATTACACAGAATTAATAACAAACCCCAGGAAATAGAATATTTTAGCAAAACAACTTCACCTGCAGAGTCAAGATATCACTCGTATGAGTTAGAAACCTTAGCGGTCGTAAACTCCATTAAACATTTTCGACATTATTTGTTGGACAGGAACTTTACAGTTTTTACCGACTGTAACTCATTGAAGGCGTCAAGAAATAAGCAAGATTTGACTCCTAGAACACAGCAATGGTGGGCCTTTTTGCAGTCATTTACATTTGATATTCAATATAGAGAAGGGAAAAGAATGGCACATGTTGACTTTTTGTCGAGAAACCCTATCGCACCAGGGTCCTTTGCTGTAAAAGTAGTTGAAGAGAAGAGAGTTAACTTGGCTGAAATTTCAAGTAATTAGCTAATTGCTAAACAACGTCGAGACTCAGATATAGCCGAAATAGTAAACAAATTAAAAGACTTTTCTCTTGCTGAAGATATTGCGAAAACTTATGAACTAAGGGCAGAAATTCTCCACCGAAAAATTCAGAGAAATGGCAGAACCCGTTGTTTACCGGTGGTGCCGCGTGCTTTTAGATGGTCCGTCATAAACGAAGTCCATGAGTCAATTATGCTTTTAAGTTTCGAAAAGACACTTGATAAAGTTTACGATTTTTATTTGCTTGATAATATATCAAAATACATTAAGAAATTTGTAGAGAATTGCATCACTTGCAAAATGTCGAATCACGTTCAAGAAAAATTCAAGCTGAACTGCATTCAATCCCAAAAGTAAATATTACTTGGCATACTATCCACATAGACATAACAGGGAAATTAAGTGGCAAAAGTGACCAGAAGGAATATATTATTGTTCAAGTTGACGCGTTTACCAAGTATGTCTATCGTAGTCATACTCTTAAACTAGACAGTGACAGTTGCATAGAAGCTGTAAAGTCCGCTGTTTCGTTTGGAGTACCAAACCGAATAATAGCCGACCAGGGAAGGTGTTTTACAGGAGCAAAGTTTAGTCAATTTTGTTCTGATCAGAAAATAAATTTGCATTTGATTGCCACCGGGGCTAGTCGAGCTAATGGCCAAGTGGAACGAACAATGAGCACGTTGAAAAATATGTTAACGGCGGCTGAAACGGGAATACAGTCTTGGCAGGATGTGCTAGGAGAGGTGCAGTTAGCAATTAATTGTACAACTAACCGAGTGACGAAGGCAAGTCTTTTAGAAATGTTATTGGGAAAAGTATCAAGGCCGTTAGGATTACTTCCACCTTGTTACATAGAAAACGAAGTTAACCTGTCAAACGTGAGAGCGCAAGCTGAAAAGAATGTTGTATCTACAGCAGTGTATGATAAAGAACGGTTTGATAAAAGTAAGGCGAAAATACGTAGACACAATGTTGGAGATTTTGTTTTACTAAAAAACGAGGAAAGGCATCAAACCAAGTTACCAGAAGGGGAAGTACCCGAAGAGCTGAATGTGTTTGATGACTATAATAATGAAAATAATGAGAATATTGAGAATGTTGAAAATGTTGAAGTTATTGACGAAAGAGAAGTGCCCCAATAAGGATGGCAAAGATATATTGTACTGCTGGCCAAAAGAAATGGCAGAGTACTTGGATGGTGTAATGTAAGCACAAAAATGAAATGTTTGAAAAGAGAATGTAAAGAGACAGTATCGTGGCCTGAGTGGACGATAATGAGATAATGTAATATTAATGTAAGCACAAGTGCAAAATAAGCTGATGTTTGTTTTGATCATGGCGTGTGGTGCATTAGATATTTGGAATATTGAATTGAGTTAAAGAGACAGTATCGTGGCCTGAGTGGACGATAATGAGATAATGTAATATTAATGTAAGCAAAAGTGCAAAATAAGCTGATGTTTGTTTTGATCATGGCGTGTGGTCCATTAGATATTTGGAATGTTGAATTGAGTTAAAGAATTGGATTAAAGAAAAAGAAAAGAACAAGTCTGTATGTGTGAACATGAAATATAATTTTTGAAGACCTGAAGTATTAAAGAAACCCAAACAGAATGGTAATGTTTATGCTAAAGTTTGTTTTAAGAAAGTTTGATACTATTTTGATAAGTTGACATTAGTTAAGAAAAGTAAATAGGATTACTCGAAATATTTGTTTAAATTAATGAAAAGGGGGCAAAAGAGAAACGTTCAGTTACATATACACGAGGTCGTGTTAAAGTCAGTATGGCCGTGTCGGCGAATGGATATACCATTCGTATACCAGCGTATGCAGAATGCTAGTTCCTGGAAAGTTTGTCTTACGCGGAACTTTGGAATTCTTGGTTCTATTCTATGATTGGTCCTCTTAGTTCGTTGTGGCGCGACACAGCTGCGCTGTTAGTTCCCTTTTTCACAGGAATCGTTATAGCGAGGCGGCAGCGTCGCGTCGCTGTCGCCGTGTGTGGTTCGCAGGCAGTTCTTAGGCAGAACGATCGTCAGCCAGGAAAGTCGAAACTCACTCCGCCCGAAAATGGAAAGCGACCATGAATCGACATATCTATATATGTATATGTAGGTATAATGTAATTTTCTGGATCCGATGTTGACGATTTTGATGATGCTACTTATCTGGATTCGTCTTGATGATGTTGATGATGCTGCTCCTGTTGCTGGCCTCTTCTTTCTTTCTTCCGCGTCCATCCGCTGACTTCCGTTGGTACTTGTTTGGCTTCGTTAAAGATGATTTTATATGTATATATTTATATATATATATATATATATATATATATATATATATATATATATACATATTTATTTTTCACGTTTTAGTCTTATTATTTTTGACTATCCGAACTCTTTTTGGTTCGATTCACTTTATAAATTTATGAACAGGCTCCTTGCCTTGTTATTTTAACTTTTTAATTGGCACACCGTCGCGTTAAATATTTTTATTTTTATTTATTCACGCTCTCTTTATGCTGATGTTTATGGCCTCAAGCACGCCGTACGAATTTATCGTTTTTAAATTTGTAAGCTACCTTTAGCTTAACTACAAGGTGCTTGCTTATTAAAACAAAAAAGATTCTTTTGTATCATATTGCTTTTTTTTATTCTCTGTGTCTTACCTCGTGGGGGAAAACAGGACATTTTTATTTTCGCTGCCTTAATATTTTAGTTTAAAACTCTGAACCTCTTACCACAGGGGGGAAAGTTGCAGAGCGGCCGAAGGACCAAAATGTTAGAGAGGCTGTAAATGAAACACGCGTCTAACACTGTTGAGTTTATATTTCAAACTGAATTTTATTTCTTAAAGTCCTAGCTTAGGTAGCTTACATAAGATTTTCATATCCTTATTTCTAGATCCACGGATCGGTATATCCCCGACCGCGGGAAACATAATATCGCTCTTATCTTTAACATGTGATGACCACTCGCAAGAGGTCATATAACCCAGCAAGTTTTCTAGGTACCTAGTTGAGTTAGGTATGCACACATGTGCTAGAGTGCAGGACATCTGCTGGCCAGACGCAACACTTTGGTGTAGCTACATTTCTCTTGCCTATACATAGACAAGCTCTTATCTCTCTGATATAAGTATACAAATGTGTGTTCTTTCTGAACAAATACACCAACGATTTTCTATAGCTTCCTTTGAATTTTGGCGCCTTCCATTTTTACTCGTTCCTTGCCATTTTTGTTTACATTTTCGTGATGAATAGTCAAACTTTTACCGAAATAAAGAAGAATCGAAAGAAAGTCCGTCAAATTAGAATTGAGAACAAAATGAGAAATTTCAAAACCCTATGGACCATCGGTTCAACGGACAGAGAAAAGCAGATTAAGCTCTGTGGAAAAACCCTATTAAGGTTGTTTTCAATAATATCCGCCTTCGGCCTATCTGTTGATTAGGTGTATATTTTTGACTATTTTTTACGACTCTTGTCTAAAGCAAGATTTACCGATGCAAGCTACGCTTTAGATTTATTTTCACGATGGTGACCTACAGCTTGCTGGTATCAATGTTAACATCAGGCGGTCTCCTTTGGTGTGATCTATCACACTACTATTTAAGTACGTGTCACTTAATGTACCAGTCAAGTCAAGAAATATACATCCGCAAAAACTAACTGATCTTGCTTTGGCATGGTAAGCCCTTACCACCCGATGGTTCTTATACTAAATTGACAAAAATACCAAAAAACATCGATTAACGAACTTTTTTAAGTGCCTTCTCTAATCTTAATTTCTTATTATTATACACTGGCAGGATATGAAAGAGTCACCTCCAAAGCATATATATTTTAATCAGCATCAACAGGCGCGTTGATCTAGTCATGACCGTCTCTCAATTTCTACGCAAACTTGTCTTTCAATTTCTATCTGAATGAAACTTTGAAGATAGTCTTCTATATCCTCTCCCTATTACATAAGTCAAATAGGGCCGGATCAAACAAATATATCTGACGTTTAGAAAATTAAAAAACAAGATGTAATGTTATTTCCTATTAACTAGAGATTAATTAAAGAGATGAGTAACTAACTATTAGGGCCATCAACTCGATAATTCATATTATAATTCATTTCAGTGGGAGTTTATGGCCTAACAATTTATGCTGCACTTGTAATATATATTTTAAGAGCAGTTTAAATTTGTTTGTTCTGAGGGCTTTAAAGTAGCTGCATGGATTTAGTGTATGATTGACTGATAGTTCCTCCCCACAGTTGGGACAGTTTTCCGCCTTTCGCCGTTGAGGACGTGTTTATATGTGAGGTTTGTGTGTCCAGTTCTGAATCGAGAAAAAATGGCGCATTCCCTTCTGTCGCACGACGGAGGGAATTGGGTTGCTTTTTGCCGAGGTTAAATTGTTTATATACCGATTATTTAGTATATGTACCGTGCAGACCCCGAGACGATGCTGTCATTTAAGCTACCTAGTCAATGCAGCATATTCCAGGCGGAAGTCTTCGCGGAAGTCTTCTTCAGGAAGGCGGCAGATCTTGCGCAGGAAATAGCCCGCCCATGCGAGGCGGTAAACCTGTTCGAAGACAGTTAGGCGGCGATTAGATCCATGCAATCGTCAGCGGTCAGTTCCAAAAATGTACTGGCAAGCAGGGACGCACTAGATATCCTACTGGGTTCTCAGCCACCAGGGCATAGATTGAAACGAAATTGCAGACGAACTTGCAAAGGAAGGAGTCGGACTGGCTATCGATAGAACAGAAAACGTCCCAGTCTCTCTAAGTACGCTCCAAAGCGAGTTGGTGAGGCGGGCGGACGTACTAGCAAAAATCAGGTAGAAAAGAAACTCCGCAACCTGCAAAACATATAAAATCATGTGCAAAGAGCGCAATGACAAACTCAGCCTCTACATACTGCATCTATCCTGATAAGACTGCAGACTATTAGTGGGAATTCTTATGGGTTACTGCCTGGATACCGCGGTCGCAGTCAGGCTGGGCATCACCAAAAACGGCAACTGCAGGAAATACAATAAATCTGAGGCAACCGAAACATTGAAGCGTCTCATCTGTAAGTGCCCAGCCCTAACGCAGGCAAGAGTAAAACACCTAGGTGCCCCAGTACTTGCATCACTAGTAGATGCCTCCAAGAGGTCTCCAGATTAACTACTTGCCTTCGCAAAAACTACCGCAATCCTAAAGGGCTTCAACACCGCGTAAGATTCTCCAGGTCCGTGTAAAAAACAACATCCGGATAAATAAGGGCCATACTGGCCTATGATAGGCCTCAGGGTGGCCGTCCGGTTCAACCTAACCTAACCTCCATGTATGGGGTCAGTAATGTCACAACACGCATGATATAGCTGAAGGATGATAAATCAATAAAACAACGGTATTACCCGCGGTACCCATTAACGACCAGTTAAAAGAACTGTTAACACTAGGACTGATAGAATGATCACGCAGTCCTTGCGCACCAGTGGTACTAGAAAGGAAAAAAAATACAACGAATGCATATCCGGTACCGAGAAAGAACTTCATATTAGACCAACTATGGGAAGCAAAATTTATAAGCACAATTGACCTCAAGTCAGGATATTGACAGATTCCAATGGAAACCGAAATGGAGCCGTTTGCATTTGCGTATTTGGGTGTCATAATAGTGACAGATCGAAGTATGACGGAACTTATGGAAAAGCTACAGGAAGTGTTCCGTAGACTACAATACGCAAACCTCAGATCAGCTGAAAAATCGTCTAACACAATCACCAGTACTGGCATGTTCGGACTT